TTAAAGGGAACAGCAAAGTGAACAGTTAAACAATCTTTTAACAAGCAGACTAGACTTGTAACAAAACAAAATTATTTTAAAGCAAAATAATTTCATATTACAATTTTAGCTTATAAAACAAGACAACTACTGACAACAAATTGGAACAATTTACTAGATTAAGACAACTCTAACATTTGCTAACATAATATTGTTTCTCACACTGCAGCCCTTTAGCACCTCTGAAAAATCAGACTACTTTTATGCAGATATCTAAATATGACTTTTGGTGCTGAACTCAAGTCTGAAAATGTTTGCCTAATTTATGAAGGAAAGGGGAGAAAATGGGAAGGAAAGGAACAGGAAAGTATCCTGGACATCCTCTGACAACATTGCAAAATCAGGGGGTTTCAGACGAGGTCACCTGTAGTGTGTCATACTTCTCCTAAAAGTAGCATTGTGCATGTTTTGTGGAAAATCAGAGGATGTTATAAACTGTGAGTCATGTCACTGTTGACTTTACAGAGCACCCAAGTGATATATATACCAGGGCACTGAAGAGACATGCATAGAAAAGATAGAGACTGAGAGATTTTGTTAAACTAGCGGTAGGATAAAGAAGTGATGTTGAAAATGAAGCGTCTTTCATTCCAGATCTTACTCTGTGTAGCATTTTCTTTCGTTTTTCCAGTAGTTCCAGAAACAGAGAAGAAAAATGAAGAAGACATGCAATTTGCTGAGGTAATGATTGTAGACAATATATATGAATAAAGCTGATAGGAAGAATTAGTCTTTTATCATATTAAGATCACAGGAATAACTATATAACTATTAAGATTATTCTATACATTCTAAAAGAAACATGAATGTCATAAAATGTGGGTGTTTTTTTCTGATCAGAAATATCTGGAAAAGTACTATAAACTTAAAACAGAGGCAGAACCTATCTTTAAAATGAAGAACAGCAAACCCATAACTGACAAAATCCGAGAAATGCAGGAATTCTTTGGGCTGAAAGTGACTGGGGAACTGGATTCCAATACTCTGAAGGTGATGAAGCAGCCCAGGTGTGGAATACCTGATGTCGGTCAGTTCAGCACCTTTCCACGGTCTCCTAGATGGACAAAAACAGATCTGAAATATAGGTAATATTTCAGTGTGTTTCCTTGAGTGCCATTGGAAATCCCTGTGACCAACAGAGAAAATTAGTTTTATATGTTTATTATTATTTATTCTTATCATTATGGTAGCACCTAGGAGCCTGAATCAGGATCAAAGCCCTGTTGTTGTAGGCACTAAACAAACACAGAGGTAGACATATATTGTGTATCAAGGAGCATATTGTCTAAAAAGACAAGACATACAAATAGTAATATACAGACAACAAGGAAGCAAAATGTTTAACATTAAGTACATGTCCTGTTAGTTGCATTTTTAATTGCCTAAATTTATTTCCTTATTATGCATTTAAAGGATTTTGAACTATACACCAGACATGGAACCAGCTGATGTAGATGAAGCGATTGAGAAGGCTTGGAACCTCTGGAGCAGCGTGACCCCACTGAAATTCACCAGAGTTTATGAAGGCAACGCAGATATAATGATCTCCTTTGTGGCTGGATGTAAGAGAATCCTCACGGGTCAAGGATAAGTATTGACTCCTTTACTTACAGTCCTGATTAAGAAGAATCATACTTTTTTGTATCCTTTTCTAGTTCATGGTGACTTCTTTTCCTTTGATGGACCGGGTGGAACTCTCGCTCATGCCTTTCCACCGGGCGAAGGTTTTGGTGGAGATGCCCACTTTGACGAGGATGAATACTGGACAAAAGATTTGAAAGGTAGGTATTCCTTACTATTTCATTAGCATTCTCTGCTGTGCAGTATTTGATTTTAAGAGCTATTATCTCATTTTTACACTGGAAAGAGATGGGGACACAAAAGTAACGCAGCTTAGTAATAACTACATATAAAGGGTCTGAACCTGCTGTACTTCTCAGCCGAATTCTCCTTGAAATCAGTGCTTCAGATTCTGAGCTCAGTGACACCCATGACAATCCATAGTAATTCCACTGAAGTCATTGCAATGACTACAACTGTGGCTCCCGTGGAGTGACTGGAATTACCATGGATGTGGACTGGTTTGACTGAGTTAGACAATGTGCATTACTAGTGTACGGCATAGAATTGTGCCCTCAGGGTGAGGCTCTTAGCAGTTGTAAAATACTGAACTCACCACTTTTAAAGCAAAATAAAGTAATAAAGCGATGATAACTTTTAACAACCTTGTGCAGGGAAAACAATGTGTGTTCAGTGGATGAGTGTATTTGTGGTTCATGTTGGGTGCTTCTGTCTAGTGTGCTTTATCGTGGGTTATATTATGGGATCACAAGCTATGGGGCTCAATGCAGGAATTATGGAGTGAAATTCCATGGCCTGTGTTATTCAGAAAGTCAGTCGAGACAATCATAATAGCCGCTCCTGGCCTCTGAATTTATCAATATTAACAAAACCTTGGTTATACGTAAGGAGGGATATTTCTGCAGTATGAACTAAGCTTTCATGTTGGCTGGCCTCATATTTGTAATAATAAAAATGTAATAACCTCTACATAGTCAAAAACTAATTCTTTTCACAGTCTTTTCTCAAGACTAAACATGCCCAGCTTTTAATAACCCTTCCTCATGGGTCATGTTTTGTAAACCTGTTACCATTTTGGTTTCTCTGCTCTGGATGCTTTCTGATTTGTCCACATCTTTCTTAAAGTGTGGCACCCAAAACTGGACACACTACTCCAGCTGATGCCTCACAAGAAGCACAATTCCCTCTTGTGTCTTACATATGACACTCCTGTTAATACACCTTAGAATCATATTAGCGTTTTTTGCAACTACATCACATTGGTTGCTGATGTTCCGTTTGTGATCCACTATAACCCCAGGTGGTTCAGAGCCTGAGTCCCACTGTGACCTGGATCCAAGCCCTGTCATTTTGCAAGGTAGACACGGCTCAAGCTGCAGACCAGAGTCAGAAGGTGTGTGTAGTGCCAATACGGCTGTGAGGCCTGGGTCCAGCAATTGTGAGGTTTACAATGCAGTATGGATGCTTAAGCATGGGCTTGGAAACATTGTGTTCACAATCCCAGGTCACACAGAGCCAGGTTTACAATGCAGTGTAGACATACCCTTTGTTTCCCTTTTTAAACTACTATGTTCCCCCTTCTCCGCTCCTCTGGGACCTCACCCGTCCTTTCCCATTGTTTTACGGGGACATTTATTTAATCTACATGCATTCTATGCTTTTTATATTTTTAGGATTCAACTTGTTCCTTGTTGCTGCTCATGAGTTTGGCCACTCATTGGGTCTTGGTCATTCAAATGTCCTTGGCTCCTTGATGTATCCAGCCTATCTGCAGACAGAGACCAGAAACTACAGGCTCCCTCAGGATGATGTTGATGGCATTCAAACCCTATATGGTAAGGAGGAAGCATCACTTTGTCTTTAAAGTCTCTCTCATACAGGTTACAAACAATCTGATGAGAATGTGTAACCAAGAGCCATACTGTGGCCTACCTGTGTGGGGTGTGAAGGGGGTAAGGCGCCTCCGCCCTTAGAGCAGTGTACAGGGTCTGGCTGTAATTGCAGTCCTTGCTCTTACCTTTATACGGGGACTGTGTTCCCTCTTGTGTCCTCTTGGGTGCTAATCATAGCCAAAAGTATGAGAAGCAGGTAGGGCCATGGCTCACTCTAACTCCATCTGCATGAGCCAGCTCAGCTGCCTCATTGTGACGAGGAGCACGTAGTGCGACCCCTTCTTCGTGCATATTAGGCACACCCCCCCCGCCCCCCTGCAGAGGTGAGTGCTTCCTGGGCATCACTAACCAAAAGGTTTAAATATGTTTCTGTATGAAACTTTGTGACAGTCTTGTGCCAGCTCCTAAGCAGACGTGAATTGGCACAGCTCCATTAATATCAAGGAGGAGTTCAGAGAGGCAGTGGTGAGGGCACTAGGCTAGGAAACCCAGGTTCAATTCCTTGCTCTGCCATAGAGCTTCTGTGTCACTAATCCTCTCAGTTCCCTCATCCGTAAAACGGGGATAATAGCATTGTCCTACCCCACAGGGGTGTTGTGAGGATAAATACATTAAAGATTGTGAAGCGCTCAGATAATATGGCAGTGATAGCCATATAATTACCTAGATAGAATGGGAAAACACTGTTTCAAACCCACTGAGCAATTGGCCCAGTATTGCTGTTCTCCAAGCGCTGTAATAGCAATACTAACTGACCTTCCAATTCTGCTTTTAACCTCTTCCCTAAGGACCCCCATCCTCTACTGAGCCACCAGCTTCCACACCACCCACAGAAACACCCACAGAAACATCAACCACAGGCATCTGTGACCCTCACATGACTTTTGATGCCATCACCACCCTCCGTGGGGAAATAATATTCTTTAAAGATAGGTAAATTATTTCTGTTTTGTCAACATCAAGTTTTGCTTAGATTACATTTGTAATGGCAATGCTTTGACAATTAGTTCAAGAGGGGGGATTTCCTTCCAAATGTATAGTCAACACAACCTCACAAATTTCTACTTGCCCATGCAACCTGGGCAAAGTAACTGGGCTTTCTGACAGGTGAGTAAATATTAGTATTTTAAATCATCCTTAGTCATCCTGTGCATGGTCTGTTACATTTCCATGGCAATTGTGCAATCCGAGCATTGTACTTTGGCCTGCAGCCATATCACATGAAGCATTGTTCTTGACAGACTGGTGTCAGGCAGATCTAAAGGGAAAACTATGGAGCTATCAAAAGTGTTGTTGGTGATTCAGTAGGTGGCATTCTTAGCCTCCAGACAGCATTGAATCAAGGT